TATTTACAGCAGCTAAGCTACGGAAACAATGCAAATGCCCAAAATATTGATCCAGATGACTGGATCAAGAAGATGTGGTACATATACACAATGGAATATTACTCAGCAATCAAAACAGATAAACACATGCAATTTGCAGCAACATGGATGGAGCTGGAAGGGATCATGATCAGCGAAATAAGTCAGAAAGAAAAAGAAAAAATACCACATCGTCTCACTCATAGCAGGAATTTAGAAATCCTAAATAAGGAACCAAGAAAAAGACCAATTAATACAAAGTGAAAATCAAAATCAACAAGCAACTATAAACCAGAGACACACTACGGGGATGGAAGGGGGAGAGGAAGGACTAGGGTCAAAATAAGGGGGGTGTGCAATTGTATGGGGAATATAACCAAAATGAAAATGCATACATTGTGCAAAAATGAAAAATGAGGTAAGAATTATATAAAATAAAATAGTAAAAAAAAAAAGTAAAAAAAAGTAAAACAAAAAGTTGTGATATATATACACAATAGAATACTATTCTGTGATTAAAAAAAAAAAGTGAACTCATGCCATTTGTGGCAACATGGATGGAGCTGTAAGGGACTATGATAAGCGAAAAAGAAGAAAAAGAGAAACATCGATTGATTTCATTTATATGTGGAAATGAGAGACACTGCCCAAAAGGTCAAGAGAAGACACAATTTGCAAGCTCATCATAGATTTGCTGCAACAGCCTCTCTCCTATCAGCAACAATGTGCGGAAGAGGAGGCACCAAGAAAGGCCGCACTGACTCTGCAGGGCAAACCAGAGTGAACAAGGAGACGTGGTGCTGAACAACTGAGTCCAGACTGGGCTGCACAGGCGTGGGAGACCAGAGCATGTAAAGTGCGGATATACATGACAACTGGGAAAACTGGCCCCAACATGTACCTCCCTGTCTCCATTAGGGCATGTGAAGAATTGGGATAAAGAGACCCAAAAAAATGCTGTTTTTTCCCAAAACAATAAAAGAGTGGCTGTTTTCATTTTGGTGTCAGGGGATGACAATGGAGCTGCTGTGGGAACCACATTGCCAAGGCCATGTGTGTTAAGGTCCCTCTGCACAGGCTGGGGCAGCATCTTCAGAACAGGGAGGGAGCCTGTGAGCACAGAGCAGGTTCTGGCCTCCCTTCCCCTTGAACTTGCACACTGTGGAAATTGCCAGGCCTCCTAAATGAGGGACAATGATGAGCAGCCTCCTCCTCAGGTGGAGCCACTGAGGGTCATGGAGACTCAACACCAGAGAAGGAATCAGAGACCCCTGGGCCAGAGTCCTGTGGGTAGAGATAAGGAGACCAGGCTCAACCCAGTATTGCTGGCACCAAGATACACGACAAATGTGACACCTGATAACACTCTAGCAGGAGAAATGGTGATCCAGTGTCCCAGAAACTGGAAACTGAGGGAGACTCAGAAAGCTGGAAAGAGGAAAACAAATCCTGGTGAGTTCAGTGCTAGCCCAGGTGAGCTGGGGTGGAAGACATGGAGGGTCAAGACATGTCCCTGGGGTCCATGCCCTGGGGGCCTTGCTTGTGCCCCAAGTGACTAGAGAGTGGAGAATGTAAGATCATGATGGACATACCCTAAGATATCTGGGTTTGACTTCCCCAAAACTCTCTTATCCTCTACTCCTGTCTCACAAGAGAGGATCCTCCAAAAATATCTGTTCTGTATCTGTTTCTGCTTACCCGACTCTGACTTATTCCTGCACTCTAGATTCCTCTGCACCCTAGCATGGCAGCACTGCACTGAAGTGCTGCCCCCTGAGCTGCACTTTCTGAGTCAGGACAGACTGAGCCTGTGGCAGTGCCAGAGGCCCCGGGGGTGTCCCTGTGCTTCCACCACAGACTCATGACTGCTCCTTGACTGAGAATCTGGGGCAATTCCATACTCTGAGGAGTGTGGAAAAGACAGGGTTCAAGGCTGTCCGAGGAGCTCCATTCACTCATTTTCCAATGATGAAACCCAAAGGTGGTTACTTCTCACTTCCCTTCACCTCGCACTCTTTCTTCTCAAAAGCCTCTATGTCCCACGTGTGTGCAGTGGGCTGACACTGTGACCTGAGACTGAGATCTGGTTCATTTTCGGGTCCTGATAAAAAGAACTATTGAGGTACAACAGAAGTGTGACTCTGTTTGTGAATTACACTAGGGGCGATCAGAGGGAAGCAGCTCCTAGAACTGAATCAGGCCAGGTTGAACCACACCAGGAAGTTTCCCCCATCCAGGCCCTGCTGCCCCCTGCTGGGCAGTATATGGTATGACTCAAGTGCCAGATAAGGCTGCTGAGTGTAGTTGAAAATCTCAGCTTTGTCAATTCTTTTTCATTCCTGTTTTTCTCTTCTAGATCAATACAAGGTTCCCCCATTTCCTTTTCATCCCTGTGGTCCTCTGTCCCTGTTCCCTGGGTCTCCTCCTGAATGAAATATGTCCTGCCACACGGTGAGCTAAGACTCAGCCCTTCAACCTGCCTCAGTAGGTGTTTCCTCTTTAGTGTGTAGAGGAGGGATTCTCTAGTCAGCCAGCAAGACACACCGGATGGAAATGAAAGCATGTCATGTAACAAGTTTCATTAAAAAAAAATTGTGAGATGCAGACTAAAGAAGTCTGTTTTTCAAAATGGTGAAATAAAATATTTGGCAGGAGGAGAGGGAGCTCAGTAGGTTTGAATGACCCAGTGGGGAGCAGCAGGTAAAATCCTGTTTTGCAGGCTATGGAGGGAGGGGCTGGAGGGAGGCTGGGTTGTTCTAAGACACCAGCCCTGGGGCCCTCATTTCAAGACTGTCTGTCACATGGACATTTGATGTGCTGATGCAACCAATTGTGATGTTTGTGGACACTTTCAAGATCCCTCTTTGTTTTCTTTGCCTTGTGATTTGTTACCAAATGTCAGCTGAAGAACATTGTTCCCTGAGCTTAGTTCACATTTCATTCTTGGTCCTCTGTCCCCACCACACAAACCCAGAAGTAGGTGTAGACTCACTCTGGTCAATGTGGATGAAATTGAATGAAAATATAATCATGGCTGCCGCATATTAACTCCCAACAGTTATATTGCAGGTGCAGTTGTGTCATAACTGTACGCAATATATCAGGGAATGGGGGATAGAGAAAACCACAAAATTGGAAACAAGAATGAATTATGACAAGTATTAACAGCCTTTATCCTGAGCAAGTCCAACCCCAAGTCCCGCGATATTTTTCAGTCTGAAGTACCACTTTTTTAAGGAACAAATAAGATTTATGTTTATTTATTTATGCATACATCTGGGCTGTAGACCAGAGATGTGGGGAGGGAGAGGATGCACCAGAGGCAGAGTGGGGAGCAAAACAGGTGGATCTACTGAAATATGTTGCTGACGGGAACAGTGGGTTAGTTCCCTGCCTGGGGATGCCTCATGCTGCAGTGGTTGCCCATAGCTTGATAGCACTGAGACTTAACCTCTAGAGCCACCAGGGTGGCCCTGAATTATCACCTTTTAATCTCACTACCACTACTGGACCAGCAGGTCCCCATGCCATGTTCCAGTTTCCACAATCAACAAGATCAATGACTGAACGATCCTATTCACTCATCCTCTAGCTACTGTGTTTGAGCATATGTATTTTAAAATAATTCCCATTGCCTCTTAAAGGACTTTGTGGACTGGCATCAAGGCAGAGACCAAGGAGAGGCCCTATTCTCTCTGCATTCTCTTGAAAACATCAAGAATCTTGGACAGATTCCTGGAAATGTGAGAGCACATGGGATTTTCTGCAACAGGGATTACAGAAAATGCTAGACTTTCTGAACAGAGACTCACATCCTGTGAGCAGAACATCCTGTGGGCAGAACACACCGGGAACAGCGTTACACTTGTTGTCGTTTTTGGAGACAGTGGGTTTGGAGTGCGGGGTCCTTGGGTTCACTCTGGGAAAGGTTTTGTTAGGGAGAAAAGGATGTCCTAAAGCTAATTCCATACAGGCTTTGTGGACTCCACCCCCATCCCAGGCCAAAGCCAAAGACACTGGGAACTCCAAATCCCATCACCACCAAAGGGAAGGTGGCTGAGACCTGAGGGTGGGGTTAAGCAACCAGGTTGGTATAAAGCCAGACACGTGGGCTTTGGAGGGGTTCCCCCATTTTGGCTCTCCGCCAGCTCACAGCATCTGGTAAGCTCTGAGAGTGCTTTTTGGGTTTCCAGGTTGTCGGATTTGGTAGGACGCATTAAAAAATTTATTTCCCTGTTTTCTCCCTAAGTTGACATTTTCCTTATTTCCTTTTTCCCTTGTAAATAAACCTTTTATTAACCTTTTGTGTATGCCTGTAGTAGAGTATTAACAATTCCCTTTTAAAAGAACGGTGAGCACCCACAGCCAGGCAACCCGTTCAATATCGGGGCTGCCCTACAACAGTTTCACCAGAGCTCCTGTTTCTGTAACACACAGCAAGTTTCCCAGGCGAGTTACTCCACGAGACAGAGATGTTAGTTATATTTAAAGGGAAGGTTTATTAGGGAAGGGATAATACAGCTAAAGACATTTGCACAGACACAGGCGGGCAGGAACAGCTGCCCCAGAAGGGACAGTTTTGCTGAGAGGGTCCTGCATGGTTGCAGGTGGGCAGCGTTGAGGAGAACAGCCTCCCCGGAAGGAGGTCAGTGAAGAGAAGTCCCAGCATGATACAGGTCATGGACAGCCAGAAAGCTGCTGCCCTACAGAGGAGAGAGTTGGTGAAGAGAGAAACCTGCAGAGTCACAGGTGGGGAGTAGGAAAGTGACCCTGAGCCTGTGCAGAAACTGCACTGATATAGTCCTTTTCTCTTTGGGAGGGGCTCACTCCTCCTTGGAGTGGCCTGTTAGTTGTTGATTTTAGATAACTGGGCAAAACTAGAAAGGGATCAGAGATTCCAGGATGGGCCCAATCTCCATATCTTTACCCTCAAGTCTGCACTACACTCCCTAGACAGTCTGATCCTGCTTGGCTCTTATGCATTAGGATAAGGCACTGGTGACTGAGGGGCTGACATCTATGGCTGGGTTAATGGTCATGTTATTTTCCTCTACCCCCACCTCCTTGTAGGTCAGGTTCTCGTCTTGGGATGCCTCCATTCCAGGCTTTCTATTCTTGTCCTCCATCACACTGACACGTGGCTGGGACACAGGACATGTTCCAGCATCTCAGGCAGTAGAGACCCAACTCCACTCAGGAGAACAGCCCCAGCTCCATGCCAAGTGTCTCTTGTCACTGCAGAAATGGAAAGTGTAGTATGTTCTAAGATTAATCATCATTATGGAGAAAAGCTATCATTGCAGCCATAAAATAAGACAGGATCTTTGTGGATTGTGTTATGGAAAGGAAGGAGGCGAATACAACTTATGTCTCAAGGCCATCTGTGTGGATCCACCAAGCCCCCTTGTTCTTGGGATTGTGTCTGGCACACAAAGTTGATGCTGGTTAAGCTAAATGTAGAGTGAGGCTGGGGCCTCTCACCTGGACAAAAGTCTTGGCATGAGGAACATACTGGGAAACCAATATCTGCTGAAAACAGCAGGCAGATACTATGGCCTCATTACCATAAGCAGCTAGACCACCTTGACAGGAAGTTAAGTGTGAACAGGGACTAGTGATAGGATGTTTAGATCAGCAACAACAATGGAATGCCCAAGCAACAGCCCCTATTCACTCTCTCAAGCTTGTGCCAGACTATTATGTAGCTCCAAACCTCATCCCTGCCAAGGACATTACTCCACATACTTGGCCACCTTCCCTGAATCTGATACCAAATAAATGTGTGACTGGCCAGGATATTGAGACTGTATCTCCAGACATGTAGCCCCCTAGGCCTTTTTCTCTCTCTGTCTCACTACTTGGACTTTGAGTTATTGTTCCTCTGTCCTCTTCAGCTCCCAAGACTGATGCCCCATGAGGCGACACACATGGGTGATGCCCCATCTGCACAGGGTGAGGGAATCATCTTCAGTGTGGTAGGGAGGCTGTGAGCACAGGGTAGGTTCTTGTCTTACTTCCCCGTGAACTTACACCACTGTGGTAAGCAAAACCACTTCTGTATGAGCCACAGTAATACTCAGCCTCATCCTCAGGCTTGAGACAAGAGATGGTCAAGGTGGCCGTGTTGCCTGATTTGGAGCGAGAGAAGCGATCAGGGATCCCTGAGGGCCGGGAACTGACATCATAAATCAGAAGCTTGTATGGTGAGTCTGCGAGCCGCTGGTACCAGGACACAAGGTTATAACCCCCAATGTCATTGCTGGTCCCAGCACAGGAGATAGTGACTGACTGTCCCAGAGTCCCAGACACTGAGGAAGGCTGAGTCAGAGCAGACTGGGCCCAGGAACCTGAAAAGATGAAAAACACACCAGGTGAGTTCAGTTGGGCCCAGGTGAACCTGGGTAGGAGATAAGGGTCAGCTGTGATGTGTTCATTGTCCCTTCCCTGGAGGCCTCACCTGTGGCCTGAGTGAGGAGGGTGAGGAGGAACACAGTCCAAGCCATGGTGGAGACAAGCCAAGGTCTCTGCATTCTGATGCCCCAACCTGGGCCTGGCTCCCCCAGATGTCTCTTATCCCCTTCCCCTGCCTAAGACAAGGGAGGGGCCTCTATGCAAATCTACTTCCTTAGTACTACATTCAAGTCCTAGGTCACAGATGTGTTCTTTTCAACTTTCTTGCATTTTCTTCCATGTCACCACTTCCACAGTTAAAATAAACCAACCTCCCCAAACCTGGACGTGAAATCACAGAAACTTTCACATATTTGTCTCCTTCTCTCTTTAAAATTTGTAAGACTATTCTTTAATTCGCTCTCTTTTTTTATTGTCTGGCTTTAAAACTGATTTATTTTCAAATGAAAAGTACCTATTTATGGTTCAGTTTCCATCTGGGATGTAGAGAGCATGCAAGCCATTTCTCCTCTGAATGCAGCTGTAAACCGAGAACATGCAGGGAGCAGCTATTATAAAGGGAATCAGAAAAGTCACTTGAAAGAGAAAACTGCATTTCAAGGGACAGCAAACCAGGGCCTCCCCTGGTGGTACAGTGGTTGAGCACTGGGCTACAAGGCTGAGGGCAGCCTCTGCAGTGCTGGTTTGCAAAAAAAGAAAAGAAAAAAGAAAAAAAAATAAAAAAAAAAAAAAAAAAGAGTTGGCTTAAAGGGACAACAAACCAGAAACAGTGTCCTGTTTTTCCTTTTGAATTCCATGGTCTGAGTTTGAAATAACACAGCTGTTTTAGCACATCTGAATCCTGCTTTTTCCTAGGAAAATCTTAGAGGTAAACATTCATGGGACTTCATCTACTTCAGGATAAACCACAGCAATGAAGGTCCCCAAAACCCAGTCCCTTGTTGTCCCCTGGTGGCCACTGAGGGTGCATCCCAAGTCCTGTGGATGCAGCAGAGCTTTAGCAGGACATCCCTGACCTGTTCTCTCTCAGCTCCTGCTTCTTCCCTCACAGTTGTAAGAGAAATCTGCCTCCTAGTGCCCTCCAAGTAGTTCTCCCTTTTCCTTCAGCTTTTGAAACAAACAACTAAACAAAAAGTGGAAAAGAGAAACAATTACATGACTTCTGAGTAGCCCATTTGAAATAAGCACACAGGAGATATCTATAGAAAGGACACAGTATACCAGAAAACTAGTGAACAAAAGAAAGGTATGATGTATACAATCATATTTAAAAAATCAAATTACTGGATCGTAAATTTACCAGTGTACTAGAGACAGATAATATAGTTATCAAGGTTCAAATCATCACACCTAAGAAGACAACGTCACATTATGAAGATAAAACTGATAGACTGAAATGAGAGACGGAAAAATCTACAAATACATGATAAAATTTCATCATTACGCTATCACTCATTACTCATTGATAGTACAATTATACAGAAATTAATATGAAATGAAAGTACTCAGCACCACCATGATCCAAGCTAACTTAAGTGCCATTGATAGAAAATGCCATGAAAAATCATGGCAAAATGCATGCTTTTATGATTTCACAAAAATAATCATCAAATTAAGATGGATCTTGAATAATAACATGAATTCTGTTTTTTGTAACCGTGATACTCTTACAAAATTAAGCTGGCAGTCAATGGGGAAAATATCTGGAATTTTACCCTACTCCTGGTATTTTTAGTTGAATTGTATCTCAAAAAAACAAACAAAATAGGTTTAATTCTAAATCCCATCAAGAAATGAGACATTGTTTGGAAAAAGGGTCTTTGCAGTGCAATCAAATCAAGATGATGTAAGACTTCATTAGGGTGGACCCTAATCTGCTATGACCAGTGTCTTAAAAGAAGAAAAGAAGAAATACAAACAGGGGCTCCCCGGTGGTGCAGCGGGTTGAGCGCAGCTCTGTGAAGTTGTCCGCAGCTTCTGCAGCGTGGGTTCAATTCCCAGCCGGCCAGGGAGATTCCCACCCGGTGCTCCCATCAGCAGTGTTTTCAGTCCATCTGCCTGTTCTGCTCCCCACTCTGTCTCTGGTGAATCCTCTCACGCCCACATGCTTCTGGCCTGTACCTCAGTTCTTATATGAATAAAATAAATCTTAAAAAAAAAAAAAAATGCAAACAAGCAGGAGAGAGATGCCACGGGGAGACCAAGGCAGAGATTGAAGAGTGACCGTTTTAAGTCAAGAACTTTGTAAGACTTGCCAGCAATCACCTGAATAAGAATAAGCAAGGATTCTTGCCCCTTTTTAACGGCAGGAGTATAACTCTACAAATAGGTTGATATTTGACTTGTTACCCTGCAGAATTGGGAGACAATACATCACTGTTATTTTAAGAACAGTTGTGGCCATTTGATATGAAAGGTCTAAGACACTAATGCAACTTAAGAAAAAAACGTCGGGCCTCCTCTGATGGCACAGCAGTTGAACGCTGGGCTGCGAAATTGCATGCAGCCTCTGCAGTGCCAGTTCAATCCCCGGCCACCTGCAAGGGTCCCACATGGTGCCGGGTACCAGCCTCCAGCAAAATGTCGTGTCGGGGTTCCTGAAAGGATGAGAGGGCCTCGGCGAAAACGGAAGGGCTGAGGGGAAGGGGATGAGGTAGTGAGGAGACACTAACACTTGATGAGGTGCAAGTATCTTCTGCGGAGAAACTCAGCAGGTCTTTATTTATTCATTTTTAGTAAGCAGAAAAAAAATACATTGTCATGTGTAAAGCAGAAACAATTAGTGTATTTTATTCCCATGGACTACTGCTTCCTACGGGTCCCAGCAAGATGGTAGCCTTCGAGGTTAATAGATAAAAAACCAAACCTAACACTAAAACTTATTATTTCAGCTAGACAATTATCTAAGACAGTGGATAGCCGCCAGTGCACCCCTATCAGCTAAAGCCTCAGCATCAAAAGACTATTTTATTCATATGGCCTTCAGCCAGAGACCAGCTGCTGCTCAGCTATCGGAACTTTTTCTACCTAGAAATTCCTTAACTCAAATAGCTTCATTTAAAAACTTTCCCAAGAAACTTCAAGAGAAAACAAAAAAGAAGGACCTACTATAATCGGTGTATTGTAATGCTTGTCAGGCATGCTCAATAAGATGTCTCCCATTGTCAAGGGGGCCAAATTGTTTAAAAATTAGTTTCTAACAGATAATTTTCCATGCCGTTTATTTGCAGTATACTGATGCATGTAATGTAGTGCCTAATGTACTTTTTGGGAAATTTTTCTCCTTTTATGACCAAGAACAAAAAGTGAAGGAATGTTAGATCTTCAGCCCCACGGTGTGAGGCACAAGGAATCTTCAGCCCCACAGTGTGAGGCCCTTTACCTTCGGTCCCACTGTGTGAGGCCCTTTGAGCTTCTGACCCACAGTGTGAGGCCCTTTAAGCTTCGCTGCTTGCCAGTGTGTTATCTGACTGGGGCATCAAGGCCTCCTGCAACAACAAGGTGCACAGACCTCTCCTGCCATGCCCGCTGCTCCCCTCAGCAGCGTATTTTGTCAGTCTGCCTGTTCTGTTCCCCGCTCTGGCTCTGGTGAATCCTCTCACCCTCCCGTGCTTCTGACTGTATCCAGTGCTTGTATAAGTAAAAATTAAAAAATCTTAAAAAAAAAAAAAAGTAGAATAAAGCACCTGCTGTTTGGCTAGACTTTTACCCACGAGAGGTAGGGAAACTTTGGGTGATTGATTTGGAAACTATAGACTTTGTCTTTTCTGTATTGCACACTAATTGCATTAAAGTTCCTTTTCAACAAAGGATTTATATGTTTTTTTTTTTTTATGTGGTGAATGGTAGGACCTATTTAGAGCAGGCAGATTTGGGTGTTCTGCATTGCCCATTTCCCTGTCCTGTAACAGATTGGGTGACACGGCAGGACCACACTGATTCGGATTCTGAGGAGAGTACATTAAAATCAAAATAAATTTTCAAATACATTCTCCCTGAGTCTTCTCCCACCCCAGCTGTTAAGGTTGTATTTGTGTTTCTTCTCTCTCTGTCTCTACCTGGTTCTCTCTATCTGTTTATCTCTCTCTCTCTCTTCCTCTGTCTCTCTTTCTCTCTCAATCTTCACTCCATCCTTCGTTTTCTCTACCAACAACCCTCACTCCACTCACCCCACTTTAGAGCAGAGGAGGGGAACAGAGTCTGATCTTCCCCCAAGTATCCCTTCCTGGAAAAAGATTCCTGATGCCAAGAAGACAGAGGAGTTACCCTCCCTGCATCTCAATGACAAGGAGAGGAGGGGATCCCAATCTAGCAGAGAAAAGCTAATCCCTCCATTCCCAGGGACAGAAGACAGGGATGGGACCTCTCAATCTCCCCTTAGGGTGGGACCCCACAACCTGTTCTAGTGTCTGCTTTGGACTCAGATGAGCCTGGGGTGCTTACAAATCCGCAGAGAAGGCACTGAGTGGAGACAATGGGCTTGACAGCTTTCCCCATTGGCATGACTAAGGAGAAAGAAGCTCTTAGAATCTACTACAAGCCAGGTATCTTGATGGAAGCCTGCGGACATTGCAGTCCCCAAACCAGGCTACACATCAGTGTCATCATTCAGTCAGTTGCAATATGTTGCTTTGGCTAAAAAGTCTGAAGAAAATAGCCCTCCAAGAGCACCTTCGGCGTGAGCAAACACGCCATTGGAGTGATGCTTCTCGAACACACAGAGAACATGAGGGTGTGGGATGTGATGTCAGGACAGAGAGAGATGGGGAAGGTGAGTTTGGCAAAACCACACCAGTTACATAATAACACATAATGTTGTGCTGGTTCAGATGAGCATCAACAAACCAAGTGGAACAAGAGGGTGGACACTGAAAGGTAGGACTTACTCACTTCTGTTTCATGCTGTTCCCTCAGCAACATTGGCAGAGCTTTTTTCACAGGTGGTTTCAACCCCATGTTGACCCTAGAAAATACTTACCCCTTGAATTTGAGAAGAAGGTAATTTTTATTCTAAGCAACAAATAAGGCAAAGGTGAGCAAACCTCTCCCCGTTGACTAGGTGACTTAAATGGCCCAGGTGACAGGATGGGTT